CTTACAGCTGCTTCATTCTGTTACTTCATAACTAGGAGCCATTACATTTATTAAATGTCCCTGAGTAAATGTAAGTTTCAGTTGTGATTTTATACATGAAAGCCAGAAGCTATGTGAGGCAATTATAAATTACGTTAGACATTACTTAAGAGTACCTGAAATAATCATGTAACTGCATAGGATATCCATTTGTTTTATTACGTAGATAAATAATTTGTCATTAAACCTATGTTTGAACCATAAATTTACCTTCTGTGTTTCAAAAGACTTGCAGCTAATCTAAAAAAAGGGTGATATTTAATATGCATGTATGTATCTAAACACCCACATATATTTGTGACTTAAAATGAGAGAATTCCTACTAATTTGTACGTCACAGAAGAGCAAAATTTTATCCAAATTTATACCTCTTAAATTTCTTTACCACATGGCATAGAGAGAGTGCATGATGGTTTGCTTTTTTGATTTGCCCATATTTGTAATGGATAATTTAAATTCGTGTGATATAAAAGTAGTGTATCATGTTCCACCACTTGCTATTGTTCCTTCCCTTTTCTGCAAAGGTACTGTTGGCTGGAAGAGAACATTTTGGTTAGCTTTCTGGGACAGTAGGCTTTCCATATATAGATTTTCATTGAAAACTGGTTTTGTAATCATGAGTGGAAAAGGGCAGGTGGAATCAAGGTGAATGAATCTTAAACTGGGCACACCTGCCTGCCATCGCTGTTCCTTCAGCTGAGTGCTGCACATCATGGGCTCTGTCTGTGAGAGAAAAATCTCGGTGCTTGGTGTCCTTGCATGACATGGAGTTTTGCATGTAGATCGATTTAAAATGTACCTCTTGTTTACATAATTTGCATAATTTTAAAAGATAATGTTGCCAAACTTTGGAAATGTTAATGTTCAAACTGAAAATCTCCACTACATGTAACTTTCTTCCTCTGGATCAGTACGTGGCTTATAATCCTAGCCAGTGGTTTGATCTGTTCCAGTGTCAACTGCCATGTGCTCTGCTTCAAGGGGGAACTAGTCTTTTGTGAATTTTTTGTACATAAGTATTTGTTACAGATATTTTAGCAAATGCTTTCTATTTCTCTTGCTTGTGCATATCTTGGCTGGCGTTACAGAAAAAATAGTGCAAACGTTATTTCCTTACTGGGGAATGAGGTTTTTTTTCTTTCCTTTTTTTTTTTTTTAGTGTGGGTGGGTGGGTGGAGGAGGGGTGGTTTATGTTGAATGTTTAGTTTTTCTTCTGCATGAAATGTCATGTTGTGGGATCTTTAGAAAACTTCATACTGTATGAATAAGAAAATAAAATATTTGCAACTCGAGTGTATTCACAGTGGTCCTTGGTAGGTTTCCACAGCCATTAGTCTTACCCATTCTTTTGGATTTTTAAAAACTGATAAATTGGTGTTTGATCTTTGACTATAAGCCATAAGTAAAAGCAAATCTGTATTATCACTGGGTAAAAACACAAGTCATTATGACTTACAAAACCCTATCATTCTTTTACTACGTAGTTCCTCTGCTTCTAGCCTCCTTAGCTGCCCTGTGGTTCCTAGAGCTGGTGGCTTGCTTCCACTGTAGGCATTGGTACTCATCCCCTACCAACTATCCCCCACAGCTAATGCCTCCATGTCTTTGTTCAGGTATGTCCTGGCTCAACAAGAACTGTCCTGGCCACCTGTTTTAAACATACAGATAAATCAGGGTTTCCTTTATCTGTTTTTTTTACTTCCATAGTGCTTAACCTCTTCTTACATAATTTATTTATATATTTGTCTTTCCCAGTTATTGAAATAAAATGGAAGTTCCACAAGGGCAGGGACTTGTCCCTTGTTCACTGGTACTGGTAGCTTTGGTTGTCTAGAATTCTGCCTAGCCCTTCGTGTAATAAATTCTATTAGTACTTTGTTACTCTTCAAAAAAAGGGAAAAATTGCTTTTTCGAGACTTTCAAAAACTTTGTAGAGTTCCTACTACATGCCTACCACTGTAATTTAAGCACGTGAGATACTTGTGAGGCATACCTGGCCCAGATGAGTTACAAGCTGTTGGGTGTCTTTTATAACCAGAACACCCATATTGTTAGGTATGCACTACTGATGAGCTACTATGCATGGATCCTCTGACTCCTTAGATTATCTTAGGAGTATAGGGTTACTTAGGCCTAAACCTTTTTTTAAAAACCTAGTTCTAGTGAGCTTAAGAATAGAAAAGAAGACTCTACAGAGTGAAATGGCAACCCATAGAATGGGAGAAAATATTTGTAAATCATTTATAAGAGATTGCTATCCACAATATATAGAGAACTGTTACAACTCAACAACAACCTGATTAAAAAAATGGACACAGGACTGAGACAGTCATTTATCCAAAGAAAGATATATAGCCAATAGCACATGAAAAGATACTCAACATCACTAGTCATGGAGATTCAAGTCAAATCCACGAGACACCACTTCATATTCATTAGCATTGCTGTTACCAAGAGAAAAACTGTTGGCAAGGACATGGAGAAATTGGAACCCTGGTGCATTGCTGGTGGGATTATCAGTCACTGGAAAATGATAAAGTGATTCCTCAAGAAATTAAACACAATTACCATATGATCCAGCTATTTCACTTTTGGGTACACATACTGAAAAGTAAAAAGCAGGAACTTAACACAGCTATTTGTATACCCATGTTCAAAGCATCATTACAACAGCCAAAAGGTAGAAGCAACCCAAATGTCTATGACAGGTGAATGGATAATCAGAATGTGGTGTACACATACAATGGAATATTCCTCAGCCTTAAAAGGCAGTTTTGACACATGCTACAACATGGATGAACCTTGAAGACATGCTAAGCGGAGTGAGCTAGTTACAAAAGAACAAATACTATATGATTCTACTTATGTGAGTTCCTGTAGCTGTCAGATTGTAAGTGACATGATGGTTGCCAAGGCCGAGGAGTAGAAAATGGGATGTTAGCGTGTAATCGGTACAGTTTCAGTTGGGGGGAAGATAAAATTCTAGAGATGGATGGTGGTGGTGATAGCACAACAATATGAATATGCTTAATGCCATTGAACTGTACACTTAAAAATTGTTAAAATGGTAAGTTTTGTGTATTCACCACAATTTAATAGACAAGATGGTGAAAAATAAAGAATAGCACTTTTTCTGGATAGTTTCTAGGACTTACTGTCCCAACTCATGTGTCTTGAAATAATCTTTAATCCTCAAAAATTCCCACATGCTCAAAAATCTCATTGTTAGCTAACATTTAAAGCCCATTACCACTTCAACCTTTCATTTCCCTTGGGCTCATAAACCTTTCAGCTAACCAGAACAAAGCTATTAGCAAGTCCTTATTATCAACTCTATGAAACCTAAAGATTTACTGGTTTCTTTGACCAAGTAAGTAACATTTGCACAATATGAGCATTTTGCAAGTTGTAGGATGGCTATGTACATTGTCACTGTATACTTTCAGTAATCTAACACTAAGCATGCTGTCCCAGTCTTAACATGACTCTGAAATCAGTAAAATTAGGTCCCTTCCCAGATGCTCAGTGAACATGAGTTTCCTTTTCTACCATTATAGTTCTAGGTAGCATGAGGGTTTGGAGCCCAAATCTTCCGGAATGACTAAGAAACACCTAGGTCTCCTCCCTTATCAGCCATTGAATAAGAAAATACTCCTCAGGCCCATTCCCCAGCCAATAAATATGTATACTGTTACATGTCAGACACTGCTAGATACTGAGTATCCAAAGACCAGAGGCTTTAGGGTGAGAGGCAGATAAAGTAATTACAGTATAGCATGACAAATGCCATAGGCATGGCTAAGGTTTGAGGTATTAGATTGTGTCCAGGCCTTAGAGGTGGCTTTTAAGAAATGATTTAACCCAGGTTTTTAAGATCAGCTATCACTGTGATACAGTCAGATTTATTACCTCTATTCTTTCATCATTCCCATCAAGAATTAGCTGCGTTTCCTCTAACATTCTGTCTCCCCTTTGAAACACTAAGGAGTACTGTTCCCCCGGAGAGGAGAGAGAGTTGCTTGATTAGGGAGGGGCACAAAACTCAAGGTGGTAAGTCAAAGTTCAGCATCCCAAATTTTTGCAAGTGCTACCCTCTTATATTACTGAGAGTTCTAACTACATAAGAAATCTTTAAAAGTAAGTCAATTCAAACAATACCAAAACATGACTTTGCTTTAACACAGAAAACCCATTTTTCCCAGTCAAAATTATGCTTTCCTTAAAAATCGACCCCATTTATGTTTACCTGGCAATGGTTCATTTCAGTCCAAGCCTCTTGAAAACCTGATTAAAACTGTAGGCCCCATTCCCCAGAAAAGTACACCATAAGTATTTGCAATTTTGATAGAACTTCCTGTGCAAATCGCCGGGTGAACAGTACTTTCTGAAGCCTGTGTAGACTCCAGGATGAGAAAAATCTCAACAAATCTCTTTTTTTCAAAAAGATATGAAAAGATTTGATACCATCATACACCATACTCTACACGCTGCTGTGCTGCCAAAGGACAAAAAAAATGTTTTGAGTGGGAAATGCTCCCAGCAGTTTCCTATTGAATTACCACTGTAGTATGTATCTCCAATCCTATACAAAGTACAAACCAGTTTGAGGCAGTGGCACATGTAACTGATGTAAAAGAAATAGAAGCTTAATAGAATACTTTTTCTAGTCCTTACATGAACTTTTTAATACTCCCATCAGTAAAGTTAAAAGTTTTCGTCAACGGTTTTAGAGATGTACAAGCGAATGTGGTATCATTCCATTTAAAAAAATGCATAAACAGAATCATAATATTTAAATAGGCAGACACTAGTTAAAACAATCCATTACATTTGGAGAACATAGTAGTTTTCGTAGGAGTAAAAACATTTTACCACATTTCACTTTTAATACCTAGAAGAAATATACCCAACATTGGAAAGGTCTACTTTCATTACACACTTAAATGAAAATAACACACAAAATGTCAACCTCGTGATACAGGTCTTTAATTTTACAAACTGCAAAACAGGTACAAATATTGGGACTTTTAGTTCACACAGCGCAGCCAAACTGCTGCTTATGACCTGATTCTGAAACAGTCATACACCACCCGGTGTTAAGGGTCATGATTTGGAGAGGTTTTCTGAGACAGTACTTTAATTACAACCCACAGAGAAGAAATGTTTATAAATTTATAAAGCAAAAAACTTAAAAATTCATAGACAACTGTTTAAACGATAAGTTTCTCTCTAAATGAGAGAATTAGAAACTGCAAATCTACATGTGATTTAAAATGTACGAAATGATAAATTATAATTAATGTTTAAATATAATGGTACTAAATTCTGACATTAAAATTATCCTAAAAGCTATTGAGTGTGAATACTATCAAACTTTTCTGTTTATACTTCTGGCTGAGAACTGAAGAAGGGACTGAAGCTTAAGTGACAGTTTTTTCACATGGTTTCTTGTTACCACTTATAAAGTCTTTTTCTCTAGTCCGAAGGCAAGATAAAAAGTCTCTGATTTGAAATTAGAATCGATCTGCTGCTCTGCTAGCCACGGCTCGAATATTGCCATAAACCTTTGATGGAGGATTTCCTGTAGAGAGGGGGAAAAAAAGCTTATCTATAGAAATATACTCACATATATAGAAGCTACATGGAAAACAGTCTACAAAACTCTAAAAAGGACAGGGACATTTTCTACTTATCTTAAAATCAACAAAAGACCTAAAAAGGATACCATACCCAAATGTTCTCCAAAAAAAATTTTTTTTAAATCTTAAGAGCCAAAACTACCAAGTCATAAAAATATTTCGAGAAGAAGCTAGTCAATCAGACTTGGGCACCAAGGGAGAATCCTAAGGGTTTTCTGAGCAAACTGTTACACTCCTGTAACGCTTATCAAGAGTTGCTGACCTTGTTGACTGACACTGATCAGCAGTTTCCTTTTTGTTGAATCTAAAACATGGTGTTACTGCTATTCTGGAATGGCTTTTCTGTGCACCTCATCGGGGGAAGGCAGCCAAGATTTAAGCAATATAAGCCAATAAACCCTTTCTGTTCATTAGCAAGCAGACAGATGGAATCCAAGCAAAAGATGCCTACATTTTTCTATTAGGCCCACGTTTGCCAACCCCCAAGAGTTTCTACCTGCTATCTTTAACATTACCCTAAACTGACTTGCAAATTTGGTTTCAGTTCCTTGATTCCCTATTCTATTCTTTCCAGAGAAAACACCAAAGAAACTGTTATTACCCAGGATGAGGTTGCAGATGGCAGTTCTCGCCATCTTGATGTTTTGGAAAGAGCCAAGGATGTGAACTTTCCTGCAAGAGAAAAAGTGAAACAAGTTAGCAACAAAAAGTGTTCCTTAAACTGAGTTCTGTAATCCAGAAACTCTGAAAAATCATGATAAAGACTCATAAATAAAGGTAGTGGTGATGGTTGCACAACTCTGTAAATATGCTAAGAACTTTGAAAGGCAGAATTTTATAGTGTGAATTAAAAATAAAAAATAAAAAATTATTAGAAGAGACATAAAAAAAAAACAACTAAGACGTTAAGATTTTTGGTTAATAATGGCTACCATGCAGTGAGTGCTTTCTGTGTATTAGGGCTTTATACGTGTGTTCTCATTTAATCCTCACAAGAACTTTATTAGGCAGATGTTATTGCCATTTTACAGGTGAGAAAAGACGTTTACAGGAAACCAAGAAGCCTGGCCAAGATTATGCACTGGCAGAGCTGGGATTACTTGAGTACCCAGGAAAGCAAGGGGTACTTAATTAAAAGTTTGGATTTCAACTACAAAACTTCCTAAAAATTACCTGAATTTCTTCAGTACTCACTGAGGATCATCCAGACCCTTTCAATCTGCAGTCTTTGCTGAATGGCTCAAATAAGATCAACAAGAGTGAATTTTGCTGTTTTAAGCCCATCTTCCAAAATCTCAGTAAGCCATCAATAAGATACTGAAACGGGCAGCAGGAACATCAAGCAGAACCGTCTCCCCACATGCACACAGGTACTTATGAAATCAAGGTAAAAGTGAGGCTTAAAGCCAAGATAATCAGTTAAAGTCTGTTCAAGATGATCCCCCAATTTTCTTCCCCATTCAGTGCAAACAGGCAAACACTGCTCTGTAACTCTGGCAAAATTATTGGGGTAAGGGGAAGTAGTTTATTGGGGAAGGTGAAAAACAGTGTCTGGACCAGGGGTACCAGACACAGCTGAAGAAATACCATGTTAAAAACAAGGGCAATGTCTAGCAAACATTTGTACACTGAATGCTGGGACCTCCAGCTGTCTTCTATAACTGGGCTCCAAGAGTTTGGCAGCAAAGACCCTGGAGAATACTTTTCTGGGAAACTGGCCTGCTCAATAAGAAAGACTAAAGATACTGACATCAGGGCTTCCCTGAATAAAGAGCCTGGCCAATTACCCTAAGTCAGTGGTCCCCAAACTTTTTGTTACCAGGGACCAGTGCTCCTGTGAGAATCTAATGCTTGATGATCTGCGGTGGAGCTGAGGTGGTGATGCTAGCGCTGGGGTGTATGGGTGGAAGTAGGGGGAGGGGTGAAAAAAAGCTAAATCTTCATCTTTCATGGTAAAAAGTCAACAGTGAAGCTGAAAATAAAAAAGAAGCTGATATGTAAATAAGATATTTGAAAAAGTGGAGATAAATAATTTTTAAAAATTAGCTAAGAGGGTTGAAATTGGTTTCTCTGAAAGTGGGGAAATGGAGGTAGGCAATAGAAATTGTTGTCTTTTTAAAGTCTATGCATGTCTAACTTGGATAAAAATAAAATTCTTTAAAATAGAACATGAAAGATGAGGTAACAGACACCGCAAGACTACATAAAACATCAGTTTTCCTGAAACCACCACAGTAATGGGGCAGTAGCTGGAATGGAACGCAGGCCCCGGACACGTAGACCAACACTAACTCCCAGCTGATGTACTGAGTGCACCTGGAACAAATAGCTTTTAGCTTTATATCTTGCTCACAATATACTGTATTGTGCGAAGTTATTTGCTGCTCATCAAGAACAACACTTATAGTTGCATAACAATCCATCTTACGGCTATAACATAATTCATATAAATTGTTGAACTTGTGGATTTCCAATTAGCTTATTTATAAAAATTACAAGACAGTACATTTCTTCAAATTCAAGTAGTAATTCAATTTGTTAAAAAAATAAACCACAAAAGATGATAAAATGTAATTCAATAACAACATTGTTCATAATAGCACCAAATGGAAAACAACCCAAATGTCCATCAATCTGTGAATGGATAAACAAAATGCAATATATTCATACAATGATCTGGTACTCGGCAATAAAAAAGAATTACTGATACACCCAACAAGATGGATAAACTCAAAACAACGTGCTACCTAAAAGAAGCCATACTATGAATTTCTAGAAAAGGCAAAAGCATAGTGACAGAAAGAAGATCAGTGATTGCCTGGAAAAAGATGGGGTTGCAAAGAGCACAAGAAACTTTTGGGGTAATAGAACTGAGTGAATGAGGTGGGATTATAAGATTACAGAACTTTTGCCAAAAACTCACTGAACTGTATACTTAAAATAGGTGAATTTTGTTGTATGTAAATCATACTGCAGAAAACCCGTTAAAAAAATTAGTTCAACTAGTAATTTTAAGTTAACACTTATAAATACACTTATAAAAATATGATGTACTACCTATAATTTGATTAGCAAATCAGTTACATTTTTTGATTTCCAAATTAGGGCTATATATATTTTAAAATGTGGTATACATTTCAAAAATTTTGAAATTTCCAGTTCAAAAAAGCTTTTCCTCTGGCTCTATAGTCCCAACTCTAGACTCAATTCATAAAAAATTAAAATAATAATACATCTGTCTTTAGGTAACAGGGTCCACCAAAGTAGTATTACAGTTATCCTTAAAGTATAAAAAAAGTCTAAAATTTAGATTCTAAATAATGGTGAGCTCCTCAGTTTAGAATAAAGATGAGGCAATTTCAAATAAAATTATTTCTGGATTCAGTAGCAGGTAGATCCCTCCTCCTCTCAGTCAACTGCTTCGTTTCTCAACTTTGTTGGCATTATATAATCTCTGAGCCATCTGCCAGTAATCCCAACCTGGCAACAGGGCAGCTTCAACCTCACAGAGAGGTAATCCCGGCTTGACTTTCCGCACCCTTATTTTAAGCCTGTATCATCTTATTTATGTTCACATGTAACTGCTCTCTAGTGTTCACCCAATGTGCACTACTCACCTTTCTTTTATGAAAGACCTTTATATATAAATATATAATTACATATTTTTTTTAAAAAGGAAAGCCTCACAATGGCATTTATTTATTTTCACAATGGCATTTAAAACACCTACTCCTTATTCTCCCGATTTAAAAGATTCCCGAGATACTATTTAAATCTTGAACTGTGATGTAATTTCTTTTACTAGTGATTCTAAACATTTCTTTCATTGCTGAGAAAAAAAGCTATAATTTCTAAAATTTTCTCAACTAACAATCTGCTTTCAAAGTTGGTAACTATCTGTTCATCCAGAACCAAATACTGACAAAGATTTAGTGGCAACATTATGCATAAAATACAATCCTTATGACGTTATGAAACCAGCAAAAGATCAAATATAAATTACAAAAGTAATTTTCTCAAGATCACATACTTACACATCAGCCAAAACTATCCGCGTCCGTGTCACATTCTCTATGGTAAATTTGGTTTTTCCTCCTTTGCCAGCGATTCTTCCTATTGCCCTCGACAGGTGGTCTCCCTTTAGCGGCTTCACTAAATGAGAAAAGCAAGACCTCAAGAGACAAGCCATTCCAGTGCACCACCCACTTCCACATAAAGTTTAATCTTAGTTGAACTTTCTCTGCTAAAAGACATAAATTATACACTTTTTAAAAAGCTGCTATTAATACAGCTCAACTGATGCTGTTAGAGAGCTGAGAGTCACACAGAATACAAAGTCAGCAATACAAAAGTCCAGTATTTTATAATAAAAGACCATCATATGCTCACCATCTGTGATTTCAAAAGACTCTAAGAAGAGGTCATCCAACCTAATGAGGGCAAGTGCATCCTACAATATAAAAATAAGTGCTGTGAAGCCTTTCCATTTAGATAACTAAGAACGAGTGTTAACCTAAAATTCACAAATCGTAGAATTGGAAAACTCAAATTAAAAAAAAAAAAGCCCAAATCCATGGAAACGTTCACATTATTTTTCAAGTCCTCATTTTATATGTCATGAAATCACTCACCTCTACCTGAAACCCGAGAATAAAGGCTTTCACAAAATCAGCTGCTTTTGTCAGAGCGGTAACATCCTTGGTGTCTTTACAAGTCTGTTTTAAAAAAGGCACAAATTACAGGTGAGGATGAAAAAGACAATATGCTAACAGAAAACTGGAGATGACCTATCTTACTATAATTCCTACACCACCATCCTTCCCCAGTATATTCTCTATAACTCAGTAGGCAAGTACTGTGTTAAATTTGCAAAATAGAACTTTCCAGCTCCAGGGCTGGACAGTTCCACCAAAAGACTGTCAAACGACTGAGCACACTCCATGACTGAACTGACTCGGGGGTTAACAGCAAGATTACTCTGGCGCAGCACAATCACACTCACATTCTAAAGGACTTCCATCCTCAGACCATTGACTCCAGTACTAACTACCAAGAATGCTTTAGGCTGGGATCCCGTCCTCAAAGAATTAATTCAATAATCACGGAAATAGCTGCTGTTCATACCTACCACTATAAATGACATTAACTACGAAGGTGTTTTATACACTACAGCTCTAAGCTTCATGATACCCTGAATGTTAAGTGATATAGTTTTACATTTGAGGAAATTAAAGTACTAAAAGGTAGAAATGGTTAGATTCAAACATAGGTCTGATTCCAAAACTTTCATTTCCGCTCTCCCAAAGACTCACAATCTAGTTGAGGAGACCACATATTTGACAAATTTAAAACCATACATACAGGGTTGTGTAATGACACATTTAAAACTAGATCCCAGTCCCAATTACATATGTGACCTTGAGCCAGTCCCATAGATACCCTATTTCTTAAGTTTTCTCATCTGTAATGTAAGGTCGGAGTAGGAGATCCTGAGAGGTCCCAACTAGCACCAGATTCACTTATTAGCTTGACAACTTTGGCGAAGATACTCCTTTGATCCTGTTTCCTCACATCCACAAGATAGGGATATGTCCTCTACCATACAGAGCTGTTCTAAAGACCAGTATGATGTAGTGCAAGCCAATGTATCACCATGTGTCTGGCTTACAGAAGTATCAACAAATGTTAGAATATAAACTAATGATGCTGCACACATATGACACCGAAGGCACTGAAGACATGACTGCAAAACGGAGTGATCAAAAAGGAGAAAGAACCCGAGCTAGACCCTGAAAAATGAATGGAACTGAGGTAGGAAGACAAGGGATATAGGCAGGACAGGGCAATCATCAGAGAGGAAAGCCGCCCAAATATATAAATGTAAAAATGTTCAAAGAGATGGTGAGACGAACTTGGGACTGAGACTCCTACTTGAAAGGTAAGTTCGGTCAAAAACTTTTATTCTTCAGAGACACTAAATATATCGGGATATCATAATAAAATCAGTGTGGTTTGGGAAAATTAATCTGGTTCCAGCATAGAGGGTGGAGGAGTGATAGAAGATTTAAAGCAATGAAGCAAGGGAAACCTATAAGGAAACAAGAAGTTTTGACATGAAATCATAAAAACTTGAATGAAAGTGACAAGGAGTTCTACTGTTAAGTTCTATATTTTAAACTAAAGCAATGAAGTAAGGGAAACCTATAAGGAAACAAGAAGTTTTGACATGAAATCATAAAAACTTGAATGAAAAGTGACAAGGAGTTCTACTGTTAAGTTCTATATTTTAAACTACCAACTATTTAGAGTAGTGCCTTTCAGCTTTATTCCATCGTTCTGGTCCCTCAGATGAGTCTATACCAGTCCTGATGACAGTATAACGATCGTCAAAGAGGAAGACATAATTAATTAATTTTGGTCTTGAATTCTGATACAAAATTGGAACTCAGAAAAAGAGGCCCAAAATCAATTAACTTCAATTGTCTAACTCCTAGACTGACACCATGGAATAACACACAAACACACACACACACACACATATGTATATAATTTATACTTATTCTCAAAATAATTTATAGTGCCTGTACTGCAGCCAAGTACTTCAGCTCATTATTTACATACTTCTGTTTATGACAACCTCTTTACTTGGCCTTTTCTCAGTTCAACACAGAACATTATAAAAAATATGTGCACGTATAACCAGTATTTCGGCATCATCTCAGACTCATCTTATGAATTCAACTAATATATGTGTTAAACGCAGACTGTGAAGGCATTTGATAAGTTCGAATTTTAAATTATAAAACTGGAAGAAAACCATTTAACAAAATAAGTCCCATTAACGAAAGACTATTCATGCATTTTCATCCCTGTAAGAGAAACCCTAGTATATTTGTAAAGGGTTGATACTCTCCTTACCCTGATTTCTACATTTCTCGATTTCAAGTTAAAGCGTATCTGAAGTCCCAAATGTTCTACAATGGGAGTAAATATCTTCATCCAGTTCTCTTTTAATGGTGTGTATCTGTTAGCTGGGACTGAAATTTTCCTTGTTTCTTCTTTCCCATCCTACAACAGAAGAACACGCAGCTCAGGAAGTGTGTGAAGGAATGGGGACGGAGCTGTAAAACGACAGGTGTCCCACAAAAAAGCCTCCTTCGAGTGAACAAATTAAAATTCATCAGCCACTTCTCTAAGAACTTCACCCCAAAAGAACCCCCGCAGCTTCATCACCCAGAGATCACCACTTTGATTCCCCTCTAGCCCCTGCCCCCTTCCTGTCCTGGGGTCCCCTCGGTACCAGAAACCCGTCCCGGGAGAGGGGCGGGAAGACCGGCCTCTTTGCGGGCCGAGCCTCCTGGGTATCCATGCGGCCCGCGTCCTCGTCCTCCCCTGCCGCGGAGAGCTCCTCAGCCTGCCGTTTCTTCGCCCGCCGGCCACCCTTGCGGGTGACCGGGGTGAAGCCGTCCACGGCTCCGGCGCTCTGCGCCTCCATGTTGGTTGCCATCCCGAGGAATCTGCGGCCCTAGCACGCCCTTCCGGGTCTAACACGTGCGCTGTTGCACCGCGCAGGCGCACCGCGCAGGCTCCGGCGTTCTCCAACCAGCCCCAGGGCTCCGCCCCTTCCCTAAGTAGTCTCACTCAGGGGACCTCAAGCAGGATTTTGTGTTTGTTTGTTGGGGCGCGGGGGGGAGGGGGAGAAGGGCTGTCCTAAAATATGCCTTATTCTTGTGGTCTCCCTCTGGCCCTCCTACTCACAGCTAAATCATTTTGTAATATCTGGTCTGTATATGTGATAAAGGCATTAAGTAGAGACGATACACGAGTTTGTGCCATCGGTGAAGAAAAGATGTGACTTTAGAGCACATCTGGCATTATCTGAGATAACTAAATTCAACTTGCTAACGCGTCTGGGGGCGAGTACGGCAAGCGGGAGAGACAAACTGTCCTTAGTGTTTGGGGACTGGTTTCCAGGTTAGTGTGTTTTCAGAGCCTGAGCGTGCACCTTGGCGGATACGAAATCGGCCGGACTATGTCGGCCTTTGAGAAGCCTCAGATCATCGCTCATATCCAGAAGGGCCTCAACTACACGGTGTTTGACTGTAAGTGGGTGCCCTGCAGCGCTAAATTTGTGACCATGGGCAACTTCGCGCGGGGCACCGGCGTCATTCAGCTGTACGAGATCCAGCACGGAGACCTAAAGCTGCTTCGGGAGGTGGGTGCCGGGTCGAGACTGCCCAGTTCCATGATGTGGGAGTGCCGTTATGGGCGAGTGCGGATCGTAGGGGTTGGCCTTCCTTTTTGGCAAAGTCTTCGTCCATTGGCCCCCCCCCCAAAGCCCAGCTCGAGCAGCGCGGGAGTAGCGAAGTTGATCGCAGATTGAGGAATCCTTCTGCCGTAAAATGCTTTCCGTCTGAATTCTGAGTCCTGAATTCTCCTTGGCGGGCTAGTTCATCCGCACCCTGCCGGCCCCTCCCTCCACTCACCCCCGCAGTCCAGAGCGGGGTCTCTGGAAGTGACGATTTCAGGTCTTTATTCGAGGCCCTCTGGGCAGTGTGCAGTTTGTGGAGAGTCTTGTCAGTAGGCCATCATTAGTAAAGGGCTCTCTCATACAAGCAGAGCCAAAGCAGGCACCGGGATGCCTGCAGTGTAACTGAAGGAGACAACCTAACATGTATTCTTTCCACAAGTATCAATTGATTGGTGTTCCTGGGAGTGTGAATGACAATGTCTCCTATTTCATGGCGTTTTCTGGTGGGAGAAAGACTCAGTTAAATAATCAAACCAGCGATGCATAAATACAAACCAAAATGAATTCTGTTACTATAAAGGAACCTGGTTCTAGGAGAGTAAAAACAGATTTGGGATGAGTAGAAACCAGGCCAAATTAGGAGTAGAAGAGGAAGTTTCTAGAGGAAACAGCGTATGTGGAAGCTCAGCGATGGGAGAGGTTATCTTCTTAAAAAACAGGAGTGGTAAGTAGGGACCGTCAGATGTTTCAAGGTCTGTTAGTCATTTAAAGATTTATGCCTTTTTTTCTAAGAACAGGACATCACTGAAGAGCTTTTAAGCAGGGTGTGCAAGATCAGGTTTATAAATTTTGTAAAGATCACTAGTGAAAGAACTTGAGAATAGTGATATTAACTAACATTTTTATATCTGCTTACAGTTTTTTAAAAAAATGCCTTGATCTACGGCCATGCTACCCTGAACAAGCCTGATCCCGTCTGATCTCGGAAGCTAAGCAGGGTCGGGCCTGGTTAATACTTGGATGGGAGACTACCTAGGAAGACCAGGTGCTGTAGGCGTAAAAAAATAAAAAATAAGAGATCGTAAGCTGACAAGGTCCTTGCAATCTGTGAGGTCAACCAACGGTTGCCTTGCCAAAAAAAAGCCTTGATTTGAGTTGCCTGGAAAAATAATAAGTCATACTCAGATGTTTAGGGTTGTACTAGACTACAGGGAAGGTTGACAGCTCCAGAGGATCAAAACCTATGGAAACAATCTGCTTAGAGGAGTTAGGGGTTAAAGTGGTAAGTAAAGGATGAATATAATTTTGATAAGAAAGCTTAGATTAGAAAGTATGTAAGGCCCCATCCCACTTTAAATTTCTAGGAGTGCCAGTTTCCTTGTTCAGTTTGTCTACTCTAGTCAGGCACTCAGAATAAACATGGCTTGTTCTTTTCCACTTTAGGTTATTCACCACTTAGCCCCAGTCACATGTTGCTCTTCTGTCCAATTTGGTTTATTTGACTTATGAAGTCTCTTCCTGAACCTCGCTCACAGTAACTTTTCTTACATTGCATTCCTATGGTGCTTACTATCTATGCCCGAAATATATCATTCTGTCCCACTTATTTCTAATTAGATTGTAAGCTCCTGGAGAGTAAGGACAGTGTCTTTCTTTAGTCTGGAATGTAAGGAGCAGTCACTCAATAAATTACTTGTTAAAAGAATGAGTAAATGTATTTGTGTAAAAGGATATAACTTGGGAAATTTAAATATTGAGTTGTTGATCATTTGATTGGGATCAGGGGTTTGAACAAATGGGAAACATTAGAATTGCAGAAAGAAACAAATATGAAGTTTTAGGAACAAATACCAATCAAAGCTCAACCAGAGAGCAGCTACAGACTTGTGACTTCCTTTTTACAAGACTGTATCATTTGTGTTCATTTCAGGAATACATTTGTTCCATAAAGTGAAAGTGTTCTTTGTCTTTTCTAGAGATTCTGGAGGATTTTAGCGAGATTTTAAAATAATTTTGCTTTTTTAACAAAAGTAACATATTTGTGATAGAACATTTAAAACTTATAGGTAGGAAAAGAAGAAAATTAACATCACCCTTAACTTCAACCCTAGGAGTAAACCACTTTTTATATTTTCACCTGTATCTTTTGGGTCTTCTTTTTTCTACCATAAGCTATTTATTGAGAACTTATTTTATTTCAAGGTACTATGTTTGGTGAAGGACCTATGAGTCCTTCACCAAAAGAGCCTACTGTCTAAAGAGGATAAAACAAATGCAAAAGCACTTTAAGAACTTATATTTGGCCGTGATGATGCAAGGAAAAGAAATATAGGTTAAGTACAAGTTCAGTGATTCTCAACTCTTACTGTGCATCAAGATCACCTGAATGTGTATTTACGTTGCTGTTGTTTTTTTGTATTTGTGTTTCAAAATATTCATGTCTTCGTCCCACCCACTAGAAATTCTGATGCACTGGGACTCTTGCATCTAGACTAGAGTGAGGCCTGGACCTCAGTAGAGTATTTTTAAAGTTTCTACCAGGTGATTTTAATAAGTACCAACGTTGACTACACTTGAGCTAGATGAATTATTTATTAGAATACTAAGGAACATACTTGATTCTGTCATTGTGGAACCACCTCAATGCATCTAAGATAAAAAGGAAGGAAGTAAATAGGTCTTTGTTAATGCCTTATCTTGTTACTAAGAAGATAGATAAGGAATGAGGGTGGGATCTCCACGTACAGTTGAGCAGTTTGTAGTACCACACACAATGTGGCCGAGGGTTCAATGAGAGCTGAAATCCATCTTTCTCATTAAGTCTTACTGATGTGAGACTTCATCAGCCCATAAAGGGCACCTTTTTTTCTAATTGGCACAAAAGGCTAGGGATGGCCTGAAAAGTGGAATCATAGTTGGGGATGTTTACATTTTAAAAATTAGTAATCTAATAAAGTTCTGCTTTTTTAGTCCCTGTGCCACTAAATTCTCTGCTTGTTAGCATTTGGTTGAATAAACCTCTTAAAGTTAATTAAATAGTGCTAGGATGTGGAGGAGGAAATACTGACAAGCTGTACTAGACCCACCCACAGACAGAACAAAAATAGCTCTCACAGAATTATTGATCATGGGTTTCTTTAACCATCTTAACTTATTGTACAAAGAGACCAGTGCTTCATCAAATATGACTATCATGGATGGTCATTTTAAGGATCATATAGCAAAAGTTAATATATATTAATTTTCATTGTGAAAAAATTTCATAAGATAAATCATTGGTTTTTTTTAACAGTTTTCTAGCAAGAAAAGTTTTAAGTAACCACTGAATTCTTTTCACCTTTTTCTTTTGCAAAGGTAAAAATATTTAACAGGGTCAGGGAGGGAGCCCTTTTATGAACTAGAAGAAAAAGTAGCTTGACTCCAGAGTCCTCTCTTAATTTGATAGATTTGATTATGATTTCCATGAATGTTAGATGAAAGAGAACACTTCTGCTTTTAAAAGTCCACTTACCAACAAAGCTCAGCCCTTCTGAGCAAAGTGAAATCCTCACTGCGATGCAGATAACATATTTGTATGTTTGAGTTTATGTTAATATGTTTTTATATTTTGAGTGTAATTTGATTCTTGCACAACATCACTAGTATCTGTAAGTCTCTGTATTTCTTTGATAGGAGAAAAGAGAACTTGAAGGAAACATAAATACTATATATTTATATCTTGTAAAGATATGAATGAAGGTAAAAAACCAAAGGACACAAATCTGAAAGTAGGTTTAATTCATCCCTGTACTATTTATCTCACCAATCCATTTCAGGATTGGAAGATTTCTTTAGTACTTCTGATGACTCTGGTGTTTACACAATGGGGGCTACATAATTAAATGTTTATATTGATTTACATATGGGCCTGGAGGCAGCCTAGTTCAGTAGAAAGAGCTTGGAGTCTACCTTCTAGGGACCTTGGGCAAGTCTCGGTTCTCTGGACCTGTTTCCTCATCTGGAAAGGATGTTCCAAATGCTTAGTTTGCAATTGGGTGTGCTAGAAAGAGAAGGGATGGTTTAGTCTAGAAAACATCTAGAACAGTATCTGATATATAGGTGTTTAATATGTGGATACTGCTTTCATTGCATATAAATGACACCAGAAACTATGCAGTATGTCCCATGAAAATATGGCGTAGAAATGGAAACGCAAACTCTAGCAGTGGTTTCTCTTTTCCCAGCACCAGGACAGAGATTAATAGATGTTCATGTATGCTTTCAGTCAGCAAATGTTGAGCACTAACTGGGTGTTGAACAAATCTTGTACTCATTCTAGAAAGAGAAGAGATAGATAATTGAATCGATAAAATACTTTTGCTGATAAATGAACTAAAGAAAATTAAATGGAGCAAGTGATAGTGATTTTGGGGGTTCCACTTCAGATTGGAGGGGCAGGAAAGGCCTCTCAGAGGAGGTGACATTTGAACTGAAATCTGCATTGAGAGAAGAAGGCCATGATGATCTGAGGCAGTCACTGCAAAAATCTTGGGGTAGAAAGGACCTTGGTGTGACTGAAGAACAAAAATAAAGCTGCAGGTGTGATTGGAGGGTAGTAGAAGGGGAGAAGCAGGAAATGAGGTCAGAGAGACAGGCAAGGCCAGATTTCAAAGGGCTTTGAACATTTTGCGTACCGTAGTTCTTGGTGCCACTCCTATGAGTCTGTGCCTCTAAATGTAGACATTTTATTTCATTCCACTGTATTTGCAATAAAGGCCTACTTTTAGAACCTGCGCAATGACATGAAATTAGCATAAGGCTTATCACGTAATAGAGTGGTTCTCAGTTTGGTTTCTTCTAAGGTAGTTCCCAGATGTGTTCAGGTGTCAGGACATCTGGACATCATGGTGCTATTTATGGAACACCATGAAATACTGGAATAGTCAGTTCCATCTCTGCACAGTGAAGCATTTTTCCAGTGGAAAAATCTGACTATCACAAGTAACCATAACATAAAAATTTTCTTCTTCATTTCCAGGTTTTCTTATTGGTGTTCATTTGCTAACATTTTGTAACAGACAAGCTAAAAATTATTGAAGAAAACTTAAATTTGAGAAAACATATATCAGTTTTATAAAAATTTATGTTGGTGGTACTAGAAGATCAGTGTGTTCTCTGAGCATAGATTGGGATTCTCTGTTCCAAAGGGTCTAAATGCGAAAGTTAGGTAAAGGAATAAAAGAAGGAGGAAAGTTTGTGCTTCCCAAGTTTTTATTACCAGAAATAAAATCTTAGAAGAACTGTGTGCTTACTGTAGGGTCTGAAATGTAGAAGTTAGCTCTCACCTCTTCCGTGGCCTAGGAACAAGAATAGAAACCCCATCAGAGGTTTCAGGTGATAGGATTGGAATTATCGGAAGCAGGATACTTCAGCTGGTGGAAGAGAAGAAATGGGGGACCAGTCTTCCCAGGGCTTCTCTGAGAAGAATTTTCCCAGAGAATTATGTCAGTATATAATGCAACTTCCCTCTCTGCTCCTAATCCCCTGAATTCCTAAAACCATATTCTTGCTCATTAGAGCCTACTTGCTTCTTAACCCGAGGGGCCTGTCTTCACCCTCTCCCTCAGGCCTGGGAAAGCCATTATCCATAACTTAGCACTGGGGAGACCCAGGTCATTGTGAGACAAAGGGAGGAGTGAATGAGTCGTTGGCGTCAAGTTGGAACTTTGAATTAATTTAACCATAGAAATGGTGTCCTAACAGTGATCGGATGCTAAATCACTATTAATATGTTATTTCAGGTTACTTTAATTTGAGGGAAGGGGAAGGTAGAGAGAACATAAGTGATTTGGAAACCGTCTGCTTTGTTAAATTGACAAAATTTTGATACTCTGTGTTGCCCCATTGTAAGATACTCTTCTTTATAAGATAGGAAAAATAACAAGTAAATTAGTATCAGTCAGTGAATAACTAATGCTATTCACTGATCAATCAGTGAATAACTAATTATTCGCTGAAAAATAACTGAAGTAAATTAGTATCAATCAGTGAATAACTAATGCTCTCTCTTGGACCACCTGTGCTTTAAAAAAAAATAACATTCTGCAGTTCTGTGCTTCTCATTAATATGGTCTTTTGCAACCATGTTACTGTAAATGACTGATTTTGTTTATTGGACAATTCCAAGGAAGTTGTGAATGCTTTATTTTTCATCTACTTACATTGTAACTGCTGATTTATCCAGATCCCAAACAGTGTAAAAACTCAACCAGCTGTGAGTTTCCAAAGCCTTGTACTATGTAATGATATCTTTTGAATCATAAAGTTATTGTTTATGTAAAGAGAATTTTATTTTCTGTTTGGAAGTTGCTATGTGTACCCTATATGGAAATGCCCAGCCAGACATTAAAAGTGGCAGGCAAATCATATGAAATGGGCCAACCTTAGTGGTAGAGATGAAGATTGGCCCAGGAATGAAAGGGGAGTTAGAAGGGGAGATGCCTTCAAAACTGGAGAACTCTACGTAGGAAAAAAATATTTATCTGGATATATTGTTAAGTGAAAAAAATAAGGACAATATATGATCCTCCTTGTATTAAAACACCCCTATGTGTATTTGTAAATGCATAGAAAAAGGTCTAGAAGGATGGGGATTACTACGGGGAGTGTCAAAGACTCACTTGTGGTCCTTTAGTCTTTTGTTTGAACTATTATAGGGAACATGTATTCCTTATATAAATGTTAAGAATTTGAAAATTTAAAGATCGCGGAGACTAAATAAGAGGGATAGTTTTGCCCTGTTGAGACTGACAGTAAATGGAAGGTGATATAAGACTTGAGTGTGGTGTGGGGCAGGCATCAAGTAGGGGCCTCGTCTAATTCCAGATTGTAGGGAGTTTCCAGGGGCCAAGGCAGGGGAATAGCAGACTCCAGGAGGGATTTCAGGCAGAGTTAGGGTGGGCGGAGCAGTGGAGAAATTGGAAGCACCAAGAAGTAAAAGATTACTGGAAGACCCACAGAGGTGTGGGAGTAGGTGAGAGTAGCATTACGCATGTGTATATGTAGGAGGAATCAGATAGGAACTGATACAGTAGTCCCTCCCCCCTTATCCACGGGTTCAGTTTCCATAGTTTCATTAACCTGCTGTCAACCGTGGTCTGAAAATATTAAATGAAAAATTCCAGAGATAAACATTTCGTAAGTTTTAAATTGCACACCATTCTGAGTAGCTTGATGGAATCTCATGCCATCCCACTCTGTCCCACCCGGAACACAAGTCATCCCTTCGTTCGGTTTATCTGCGCTGTGTATGCTCCCTACCGCTTAGTTACCTAGTAGCCATCTCGGTTATCAGATCGTTTGTCTTGGTACTATAGTGCTTGTGTTCAAGTCACCCTTATTTTACTTAATGATGGCCCAAAGCCGTTCACATAACTTTTATTAGTGTTATATATTAGTGTTTATTAGTGTTATATAACTTTTATATAGTGTTATAATTGTTCTATTTGATTATTAGTTATTGTTCAATAAGGTGTTATAATTGTTCTATTTGATTATTAGTTATTATTAATCATTTGCTATGCCTAATTTATAAATTAAACTTTATCATAGGTATGTGTGTATAGGAAAAAGCAGTATATGTTGGGTCGGTACTGTCTGCGTTTCAGTCATCCATTGGGGGTCTTGGAACTGACTCCCCATGGATAAGTGTTGACTCCCTGAAGGTGTGGCCAGTCTTAAACATCTCTATCCTCTTCTGCCTATTCATTGGCTTGCATGTATAGTAGGAACTCGTTAAGTGTTGAACACTTGAGTTGGGCAAATCTGTAAAGCTCTAAGTTTTGATCTCTTTGTTTGTGACAGGAGAGTATTGTATCACATAATTTCCAAGGACCCTTTTTGTGGTATATGGTCTTCTTCATATGACTTCCATAAGCCACAGGCCTTAAATAGTGCATTGGATGCGGTTGTTTTACTAATGTGATTATGCAATACTTGGAGCAGTGGCCTTTTTTAAATTAAAGGAACCTGAAAAGATGGGCTAATCTATGCTAATAGCAGCACCGTTGGTATACCTATGTGTATACAAATCTTTATGCATTAAAAGTGTCCCACAGAGAAATGGACATAAATATTTTCATTTTGTAGGATTTTGCAGGGAAAGCTGTAAGAGACACATAAACATTTTCGTTCTTATAGCCATGTAGAAAGAATGATATCTTCATTATGTTCTCATTTCTAAGAATACCATATGAAATGCTGGAATTTTCATATTTGCAAACCAATGGAGATGGTAAGCATTCAGCTTTCGAATGTCTCATTAGTGAGATGAGAGGAAAGGCAAAATTAAAACTAATTCTTTTTGACAGTTATATACTTTTAAACTATAGAAAAATGACTAAAGGAAAAGCATGATAATTTTTATCAGAAAACATTTTAATTGCCTTTTATATTATATGCGTTATTTAAGTCCCATTATAGAGCCATAAATGTCATGAATTATAAATAACTGCTTACATAAATAATGTATCCTCTCCCCCTCCCTTTTATCAAGATTGAAAAGGCCAAACCTATTAAATGTGGAACATTTGGTGCAACATCTTTACAGCAGAGATATTTAGCTACTGGAGATTTTGCTGGAAACCTTCATATATGGTAAGATTATTTAATTAGTATTAGGACATGTGATAAGCAGTTTATTTGATAGTCTTGTTACTCTTCCTCTGAAAGAGAGAATTCTAATTTTTCTTTTGGCTATTTCATAAAATGTTATCAATATTTATTTCCACAAATGCTATTTGGTGCTAGCATTTATTATCTTGTGTTTGTATATCAAGGACTATTCTCTTCCACTTTGAAGGATATAATATATAAAAATTCACATGTATAACATGGCAAAAATTTAGATATTGTTTATATTTCAGCAAGATATTTTGCATTACAGAATGATATACTGAGTTTTTGTTTGTTTTAATTTTTTTTTTCACCTTCTTTAATCACCACCCCCCCACCCTATTTCCACCTCTGACCTATGGATGTTGCTGTTTCCCCTTAAGAAGTGGATCTCTGAAGGCAGGGCGTCTCCTCCCACACGCTCTGGGCATGCACCTGGGGCCTGGCACACCCGGGGCCTGGAGCACCCGGGGCCTTGCACATCCGGGCCTTGCATACCCGGGGCCTTGCACACCCGGGGCCTTGCACACCCAGGACCTAACACACCCAGGGTATGGGCTGTGGCTCCACCTGGCACGCGAACCCAGGACCTTCTGCGTGTAAAGCAGACGTGCTAACCACTGCACTATGGAGCCACCCCCTGTTTTAATTTTTTAATGTACAACTCCCAATTCATTAAAAAAAAATTTAATGCATTAGCTAACATCAAAGCACAACTTTTTAAGAATACATCTCTTGAGCAAATCAGGATAAACCTGTTTTTGAATGAGCAAAATCACAGTTGTGCCAAATGCTTTTAATTTTCACATTTTACCTAGAGTTATTTCCTCATATTTAAATTAGAGTTGAGTGAATTCAAATATCCTTGTAATTACTCTTCAGGAATATCCCTTAATCGTCTAAGGTACAGAATAATATTCCAGAGAGAAACTGCCTTCCTTACCTCATGTTTTGTAATGTCACCTTCCTTGATTCTCACTTGGAATCTACTACTTTGTAATTAAATTACTTTGACCTATATATGTCTTAGAATCATGATATAAAACAGAATGAAACTTTTAACTGTTTAATAATTAAGTTAGCATTTATTAGAATTTATTAACATTAGTTCTTACGTACTGTGTGATATACTTTCAAAGAAGTTGGGAGAGAGACCAGTCTGAATGTTCTTTTTTAAAATGAACATATTTCAACACAAGAATATGCAACAAACATAACTGTTGACTGTCTTCCTAATAGAGTTTCCTAGAGGTATTACCGACTTATTTTAATGGATAAGTCTCGTAATTTCATATTTTAAAAAAGTAATGTTTTAAAGTCTGTGAAATTACTAAAATAGTTTTTTTTAAGTAGAACCTCAATCCTGTTTAGTTTCTTAATTCTTTTGTAATAGTACTACAAAGGTAAACATCATCTCTAAACTAGGTTGAACTATCTCAAATTTGATAAGCAAGATGTTACTAATCTTGGCTCATTAATAAGTTGGGATTACATTTCACGAAAAGCTACATTCATTTTTTTAAGCATAAGTCATTCAAAACTGACTTGTTAAAGAGAAACGTGGCTAGAAGCTCCAGTAGAAAAGTGAAAGGAGGGAAATGCAAGAAAAGGAATGTCTTAACATAACCAACTTGAGCTATTCATCACCCAGCCTTCTACTTGTAGACTCAGGCACACAGGTACTTTCCTGCATTCCTTTCTCTTAAATAACCTAGAAGTAGACAAACTTCAGCCAGTTCAACTGTAATATTTGTGACCAACATGATGATACACTGAATAACATATAGCTAGATGACAGTATGGAATTCAATGAGAAAATAAAACATTAAAGAGGAAGAAATGTGTGCAAAGTAAATACTACTCATATTTTATTCCTCAGAAGGTCCCAAGATGGAACTACCAAGGGCTACTTTGGAAACATTCTGAATCACTTTGAATTTACTCTGTATTTAGAGCAGTGATTATCAGACTTCAGTCAGCAAAGAGTCAGCAGGTTTGGGGCCCTATCCAAGAGATCCTAATTCATTATGTCTGGAAAGGAGCTTATGAATCTGCATTTATTAATAAGCACACCTGGTAATTATTTTGCAGAGGCCCTAGATAGATCATCTTTGAGGAACACTAAATGAAGTAGGCTCAGGAGTTCACATTCCAAATTGAATGATGACCATTCTCATTGAGAGCTAAAGTGAAGAGAAGAAATTGGAAGTGTGTGTATAAATTACCTTCACAGTAAAACTCTTATTTCTAAGCAAATCTAAATGTGGTATGAATTCTTAAATTTAATGGTGGACTAAATGTTTGAGACATGTTTTGAAAGTAAGAAGCTGTCTTCTGTTGTTCAGGAATTTGGAAGCTCCAGAGATCCCAGTGTATTCTGTAAAGGGCCATAAAGAGATTATAAATACTATAGATGGTGTAGGTGGACTAGGAATTGGGGAAGGAGCACCTGAAATTGTGACTGGCAGCCGAGATGGTAAGTCAAAGTATTTTATGTATTTTAATTTTTAAAGATAAATCTCTATACAACGGTATATCCTCTGTATGTGGAAATCCTCCTTGGTAACTTTAACCCATTAAATCTAACAGTCTACTTTTTTGATAGGCAAGTTTGATTGCGTATCACTGTTTCAGCCGTTTGGATATTTTGAGATAGAGGCATAGCACTTACTATTTTAGTTTCAAGCTAGTTCAACTACTAATGACCGTCGTTTCCTATGAACCTTGAAGGATTTAAAATTTCCTTATAGGTTTTTGAGGCAGCTGACTTTGTAATGTGGGTGGCAGCTCTTCATTTTCTTTTTTTAAAAAGCGGAATCAGTACTTGTGAAAATTGTCATATTGACAGCTGGTTGAACACTGAAGTTCTGTGATCCTTCCGCTGAGCGCTGTGGAAAGCTCCAAGGGCACCACCTCAATGCTTCTCCACTCTGCAGTGACTAATGGGACAGATCTTAAAAGAAAAGTGAGATGGAATTTTCTAATAGTTACTCAAGAGTGGCTGTGTCTCAGAAATCAAATATTTTTTTCAATCTTGAAAACAAAAAGGAATATAGAAGGAAAAATAATATTCAATCTACCACACTAATATAACTAGTAGTTTTGTTTTTGTTTTCAGTCTTGTATACCAGCGGTCCCCAACCTTTTGGGCACCAGGGACCGATGCTCCTAAGAGAATCTAATGCCTGATTGAGTGGAGCTGAGGCTATAATGTTAGCCGGCTGCAAATACAAATGAAGCTTCATTTGCTTACCCGCTGCTCATCTCCTGCTGTGCGGCCCAGTTCCTAACAGGCCATAGACCAGTACCAGTCCAAGGCCCAGGGATTGGGGACCCCTGTTATATACAATTTTGAATAGTTATCAGTGTGAGTTTGATTTTGTATGCTTTTACTTTTTTCATTTAAGGCTTTATTATATATAAATGTCGCTGTTTCCATATAACTTTCACAATTATCATTTTAATGACTATGTAACATTGCATCCTATAGATGTGTCACAATGTCCTTAACTCTGTTAATAAGCATTCAGTTGGCCTTGTTTTGTTTATTGCTTTGGAAGAGTGACTTAAAAATAATGAAAAATGAGTATCAGCATGTGTATAACTTTCAGAATAAATGTATTTTATGATTTTAAAAATTTATTGTCAGATTTTCCAAGTACCTGTTTACCTTAATTAGCTACAATAGATGAGGTTGATTTCCAGTCTACCCTACCTGCACTGATTTTTTTCCCAGTCTACCCTACTGGCATTGATTTTTCCCCCCCTAATTTTATAGATAAAAATGGTATTCCATTCCAACTTATATTAACTTCTTTCTGTCTACTAGTTAATTTTGCTTTGTGATTTGTCTGTTTTTGCTTATTCAGTTATTGCAAATGTAACATGAATTTTATCAATTTGTATGACCCCTGTAGAATAATATAAACCTCTTGTCACATATATGGGAAATTTTTTCTCCTTAAAGCAGCTGTTTTAATGACCAGTTTTATTTTGTCCTTGCCAGTAAAAGGGGACTCACTCCCCTTTTCCTGCATTTGTTATCCCTTTTAAGGATTTTTTTACTCTTTCCTATTCTCCCTCAGGTATTTGCCTTTTAGCCATTTTATCACGTGCGTTTTTGTTTTTCATAGGCAGTGACAACATTTAGTTAGTAGTCGTGTAATTGCATTAAAACGAAGAAGTGAAATTAAATAGAGAAGAATAATTTGTTAATTTCATTTAATTTTTCCCTCTTCTCTATTGCCACAGAGATGTTAAACTTAATTGTATATGAAATAGTATTTCAAAACACCATATAAGAAATCATAGATGTAAAAATTAGTTTGTTCATCTGTACAAGAAAAATGACAATGATTATATGGGTAGTAAGAAAAATTAAAATGTCACTGGTATTATTTTGAATAAACAATATGTTAGTTTTGGCTTAAGCAAATAAAGCATGATTTGAATTGCATTAGTGTTTGCAGTGTCAGTCATATCTATTGATAACTTAGGAACAGTTGTTGGCTTTTCTGTGTATCTATTAATTTGGAAATTTAACATATGGGTTATATCTCCGATCTTAAGTACAACTTATCAGTTAGAAGTCAGAAACATGTGAATATTTTTCAGATGTTATAACATCTATTGCATCACTATATACACAGGAAGCCATAGGAAGAGAATGCAGAAAAGAATGTCATCGTTCACTATTGAATTTTATCAACTCGCTTTTATTAATGACAGGAACTGTGAAGGTTTGGGACCCAAGGCAAAAAGATGATCCTGTTGCTAATATGGAACCTCTACAAGGAGAAAACAAGAGAGACTGTTGGACTGTGGCATTTGGTAAATTATTGAAGAACTCTTAGATTTGAAGTATCAGGTGGTAAAAAGCACAGTGCTTCAAGAAAGCCCTGATAATCTCTTTACAGTCTGTTTTGTAGATTATTCTAACAGTTCATTGAGGCAGATAGACATGGTGGTTAATGTCAGCCTCCAGGGCCTGGGTTGGAATCCTCACTGTGCTACTTATTGGCTGTGTGTCCTGGGGCAATTTTTGAAGCTTCTCTGTTTTTTCAGTTGCTTCATTTATAAAATGAAAGTAATAATAATAGAATTTACTTAATAGTGTTGTTATGAGGATTCAATGAGTTAATACATGTAAAGTGCTTAGAATTGTGCCTAGATTATTAAGTGCTCAAAATTTTTTGTTTTTATTTTATATTTCTGTTTAACTAGACAATATTGACCTAGTTTAGAACCAAATGCCATTAATGGAGCTAAGAAGAACCTCAGAGGCAAATGGTAAACTAACAAATCTTACATTATGCTCTACACAAAGTATATTTATTTTCTAGAAAATAGTTACACATTCCAGAATTAATAAGGGATATGAACCATACTTAGTTTTAAACCTCTATTTCTTTTCTCCTTGTTCTTAGTATAATTCTGTGTAGCTAACATGTTAAAAGTGGGATTTAACAATATCTGCTAACTCTTTAACTGTTCATGTTATTTTAAAATTGGACCATTATTTAATTAGAGGAAAGTTTTAGATTTCCAATTAAAAATAAATTATTATATGGGAATTACTATATATGTGCATATTATGAGTAATAATATACAAACTAAGACATGTATACATGGGGAGAAATTTCAGGATTAGTATTTAGAATCATCTAAAAATTGATGTAATAATTAAAAAGTAATTATCTTTGGTTCCATTAAAAAGCTTTTTCATCATTTATCTAAGGGACATAAGTGCAATTTTAAATATAGAACATTAAGTTTAAAAAAAATTCATTGATTTGCCAGTTTTTTATGAATGCCCAAAGCTATGGGCACATAAAGGTGAAAAAGACTCATATTCTAGCCTCAAGAAGTTTATAGTTTAGTAAAGAGGACATGATATCGACATTAATTATAGTACAGGGTAGGAGTGATGAAAGGTCATGAGAGGCATGGATAAATGCAGAAGGAATTTTAAGGGAGAGATGACTGGTGGGGGGAGAACATTTTGCCCTCAGACCAGGGCTATATAGGATTTGAACCACTGAAATTGGAAAGAAATTTCAAGCATAAGGAATACCTTGAAAAGTACCTAAGAATGCGTGTAGAAGGAAATACTATAGTGGTAGAACAGCTTTAAAGATGGCTCAGGGCCATGGCCAGAGGTGTTTAGGTGGTGTGGAGGTAGTGGAAACCTTTGAAGGTTTTTGCAAGGTTGAGATAGGATCAGAACTTTGGGAAAATTAACCTGGTGATGTGTAGTGGAGAGAGAGATGAGTGGCGGAGGGGATTATGAGTTCCGAAACTATGCACTAATCCAGGAAAGACATAGGTTAGAAGCAGTGAGAAAGGGGCAGAGGGGATAGATTCAAAGGATTATATTGTGGTAAAAAAAATAGACTATGGAATTTTTTTGCAGATGAGGAACAAGAGAAAGGATTATGTCTAAGGTGACTGGATTTTGAGGCTTATTTGAGGTGAATGATGTTATTAATTGAACAAGTTTCACAAAGGGTGCGATGGTTTGTACAGGAAGATGGTGAGGTCTGTTTCAGACATCCTGAATTTAAGATGCTGTTGTATTGTCTAGGTGGAGACCCAGTAGAAATGCAGGGCTGGAGTTTATGAGAAAGAGAGAGTCGGGGGCAGTTAGAGAATAAAAGCATTGGGATAACATGCCCAGACAGCCTAGCACAGTTACAGGAACTTCCCTCTCACTAACACATTCTTCTCGGCAAGAAGTACTCCAGAAAAAAATTCCCGGAACCAAGCAGGATGAATTTAACTACAGATCATAAACTTACTTCAGGTGTGATAATCCACACAACTAAAAATAGATCACAGTGTGCTACAACTTATTTCAGGTTTCCTTGCAAAGATGAGATAACACCAGAGCAACATTTTCAAAATAAATAAGTTTTAAAGTAGTTTCTATTTGCATTGAAATATAGTTACTGCCAAAGAAAGCAATGGAAGCATAGCTGACTCTATTCTACCAAACCCTACTGTTTGGATTATAGTTGGCCTTTTAGTCTTTGAAGATACAGAGAGAACATTTGCTTTCAACTTAGAATCCAATAAACATTTTCACATATCCCTTTAGTATAGGATGAGTTTAATGTGTGTGTGTGTGTGTGTGTGTGTGTGTGTGTGTGTGTGTGTGTGTGTATTACATGCCAAGTTAATAATCTTGATGTCTTGTTAGGATTGATAATATGAGATTCTGCCCATTGTGATTTTTGAAATTTGATGTCATATGTGTAGTTTCATAAGATGATTTTAACAGCCTTAAATTAGCATTTATTATCTGAAATACTGTGTCTTGATTTCCAGGCAATGCTTATAATCAAGAGGAACGTGTCGTTTGTGCTGGCTACGACAATGGGGATATCAAACTGTTTGATCTCAGAAACATGTCATTGCGGTGGGAGACAAACATTAAAAATGGGGTAATGCACATTTGGATTCTTTTTAGTTTTCTCTGAGCATATTTTCATCTGCCTCTGAACTACGACAAAAGGAAAGCGCCTCTCATAAATCACCTCAGTACAACCTCTCTGCCAGTGGTTCTTAACCTTTTGGGGCTGTGGAGCCCTTTGGGAATCTCATGAAAACCATAGGACCTCTCTTAGAAAGTGAATACGTACCCAGACGTGGTATGACAATGGCAGGTGAGTCGCCAGCCTCTGTGGCTGTCTGTGGACCCTTGTGGGCCATACAATGTGATATTAAAATGAGCAAGTAAGAGGCATTTTTCTGCTAATATTAGAAAGCCTGAAATAGTAATAGCCTCTTCAGCAGGTGCTTTCAGATTTTGGGCTCCTGAGTTGTATGCCTTTAGTGAAGAGCGTGGTTCCTTCTGGTTTTCTAAAGTCAGCCTTAACTTAACCATATACAGTAATCATGTAATAACTGTAAAACTTTAAATTATGGTTTTCCAAAAGGATCTGCTAGACAGGGGAACTCGAGATGGTTTTGATCTTATTCACCAAGAAGTAATTTTTTTGTGATTTAAAAGTATTTGATGGATTCATTCAAAAGATAAAATGATTGTTTAGATGCGCTTTCACATGAGCTGATAATTTTAAAGTTGTTTTACTTAGTTTTAAAGAACCGCCTGAATAATGATCATTAGGCTATCAATAATATTCTCTATTTTCAGGTATGTAGCTTGGAGTTTGACAGAAAAGACATTAGTATGAATAAGTTAGTAGCTACATCTCTGGAAGGGAAGTTTCATGTTTTCGACATGAGAACACAGCATCCAACCAAAGGTTTTGCTTCTGTTTCAGAAAAGGTAAATATGAGAGGAATGTCTTTCTATGAAGAAGAATGTTCATAGCTTATTCATAGAAGGTTCATCGCTGTTTTAGACTAATAAATAGACTTAGACGCCAAGGTGCCTTCCAGATCTTTATGTGAAAGGAGCTATTTTTAATATATTCTTATGGGATCTCGACAAGTTTTTCTGCAAAAAGAGTACTTTCCCAAACTTTTATCAGTTTTACACTTCTTGGTTGTAATAAAGGCTTCGGTTGGCCAGGAAACTTATTTTGTAGTTTAGGAGCAATCACAAGAAAACTAGCCGATGTTAGGAATTTGAACGACAAAAGCTATCCTAGTGTTTCCTAATAAATACTTAATATCTGTATTAGTACCTAATTATACACTTTTAAGTCCATACCAATACATACCTTACTATAATACTAATTACTTTTCAAAATATATCAACATATATATTATGTCATTTTATCACATTTTATTTTATATTCCTATTGCTATATTAAATAATTATTTAAAGTGCTAATCACTGTAATTGGTACATAGTAGATGCTCAAAAATTTATTCATTTATTCATACATACATACACACTAACATACATACATACATACTTTGCCTTATTTCAAATAGTATTTGAGGTAGCTTAGAAGGAAACGTGATATTACATTAGAAAAATAGATGAAAGCAGGGCCAAGAGAAAATACTGGTTAAAAAAAATAAGATGATGTCTGGAGTAGGGGATTGCATAAAATTCATCCACTCATCTGCAAGAGATGGTTAGAAATGTGACTCTGAGCTTCCTGGGGTATAAAAATAAAGATCAGTTACAGATTTGTAGTTTCCATAAGATTAAAAGATGTAAGTTGCTCAGAAAATAAAAATTCACTCCTTTGCTCCCTCTACCATGGATCCAGTAGTACTTCTCAAAACTTTCTATTTTGTCTTATTTTATTATTACAATTATTATTGCATGTAAATTACTGTCGCTTCTTGAGGAACTAAATTCTTAGCAAGGTAACTGTACATGGTAACATTTTGTTTTTGTCCTTGCAGAATATATTAAGTATCTATGAACAACAACATAAAGCACTTTACTAAATTGTTCCATATATAATTGAAGCACGTTTCTCATTATCTATAAATTATATTGTCCTCACCGAAGTTTTTTTGTTTCATTTAGTTAATCCAGTAATTGCTAAATCTGTCAAATAAATAACGTGCATTTTAAGAGGCCATTTCCCCTCTTGCTTTTTCTCTTTTTATCCACTTCCAGAAGAAAAAGAGGTGTACTCTACCAAACAAAATAAGTTTTAACATCTTGAACCTAATCACTTGTAGACTCTTATACACGTAAAGTGTGTATTTTCAGAGATGTGTTTTTATTTGCTAATGGTAATTCTCTTAAAAGACTATTAAAATCAAATGTCAAGACTAATCGCTTGCTAAAATGTGAAGTGTCTTCTGTGTGGCTTAGATCAAGTTAGCCAGTTTCAACTGCTCTACAAAGCAGAAGTCTTTCATCCCTCTCTCCCTCTCCCCTTCTTTCTCTTTCTCTCTCTCCTCCAGTTCTCCACAGTGAATATAGCACTATTAGGATTGATTTACTGACTGTTGTTAAGGTGCTAACAAGCTGTTAACTTTAATCCAGTTGCCGTTTTTATCTTTTAGTTTAGTGTGATAGATAAGGCCATGGCTTATTATGAGGGGAAACACTGTGTGTAAGTCCTGTGATCTTATTTTGAAGAGTAGACAAGTCCAACAGTGTAGATTTTAGATAAGGCTCTGGCAGCTTTAAGTTAAAATTCATTATGTATATGGGGACTCTCTTTTCACTTAGTTTTGCTGTGAACCTAAAACTGCACTAAAAAATAAAGTTTATTTTTAAAATAAAAAATTCAATCCACCTTTTTTTTTCACTTAAGAAGAAGTATATGTTTGTATTTTGGGGTTTTTTTCCTCAGAGTTAGCTAGAGATATTTAAATGTATAAAATCATTGCATAATTTATGTGATACTATAAACTTAAATGGACTTTTAATCTGATGACATCTTTTTTTTTTAATGCAGTAGAAGTTTGTTTTGTAAAGCAATAAAGAAAAATGATGCTTTTCCTAATTTCTGTTGGGCTCCTAAAATCTCTATAGCCATTATAAAGAGAAGTGCCAAAGCATAATTACTTTCATGGCAGTTGAAATTATAGAAGTAAAAATCCTTTATTTACGCGGTTTCTATTCTAGGACAGCCAGTCTTTGTCACATGAATTTATGAACCAGTTGTGTGCCTCTCGTCCTGTTTAGGCTCATAAATCTACTGTGTGGCAGGTCCGACACCTGCCACAGAACAGGGAGCTCTTCCTGACAGCCGGAGGCGCCGGCAGCCTTCACCTCTGGAAGTAGTAAGTCTGCCAGTGCACATGGCTCCTTTTAAGTTACTTGTGGGCGTACAGTCAAATTAGATTAAACTTCTTTGTCTATTTTTCTTCCTTTGACTTAGTTCATTTTAATATGATCTTAAATTTTGTGGTGGTATGTATTATTTTCTAAGCTTTTTTTTTGCTAATCTACTCATTTTACACTTAGTAAATATTAACCTTCTTTTGACACACTCTTTATTTGCTATTTTAGTTGTGTCTTCCATATACTAGATCAGGAACAATTCATAGATTTGAAATGGTTTTTTGCTAGTTATTTTTTTTTTTTAGTAAGAAAACTTTCACCAAAGGCTTTTGTGAAATACTATCATCAGATCATTAGAACAGTATTTCTAGGAGGTAGTAAAAGGGTTGGAATTCTTAGTATTAGATCCTGACAATTCACTTGTTCAGGTTAAGATCACATCCTCCTGATAGAACCGAAACAGAGCCTGAGGCCCATGATCAGTGTCCAGGAAAAGCTTTGTCATTGAATTTGTTTTCTGCGTATTTGTAGGCAGCAGAAGTGACAGTGAGAGAAGCGACAGCGAGAGCGTACCCTGCACTGCACTCTGAATCCTAAGGGCGCAGAGGTGGCAGGTACTAGGTTAGCTGCTCATTTAAAAGGCCTGTTAAAAATTGGGAGTTAATGGTATTTCTTTCTCTAAACATCACTCAAGAAAAAAGAAAAAATAATACAAGCCATAAATGAAATATATTTCAAAAATAAAGTTTTTTTTAAAAAAGAAATGAAAGAAAAATACTGTTTTCACTACATCTGGGACTTTTACATTTGCAAAATACTTCTCTATTTATTAGCTCCTTTTAGAAGCTAGAAAGGGTTCTGAAAAACAGGGCTATAGTTGGAAAATACTTGTTAAAAAAGTGTTTAGAGATAGAGGAGAGCAGTGAGAGTGAATGCTTTAGATCAAAGCTATATAGTTTCTGTGGGCAGAAATCATCGGAAATGTTTTAAGAGATCCGGGAGAATGCCTGGTAGGTAGATCATTTGGTAATTTCTGTTTTCCCAGCACCTTTGCCCATTGTTCTTCCCCGATCCTTCCAACGGAGTCTCTACTCCATGTCAGACTCCCCAGCTCCTCTTAAGCCCCGCAGCAGCACACCTCTGTCCTGCCTGGTGACCAGACTCTTTAGGCTGTTGACTCGAAGCACTGGTCTCAGTTTTCCTTGTAATCCACATATGGAGTTGTTTTCTGTGTGATATGCAAACACGTTTGCAGCTAGAATTTTTGACTATAGCAGATTTAGTTAGTGTCACTAAAGTTGAGTCTGTGCAATTAAAAATTTGAAGTTTATCTTAATATTAACTTTAATCCTTATTATAAGAGATATCCGTTCTAATCTTCAAATTGTTTTTGGAGTTTCACAGTCAAATATTACACCAGCAAAGGAGAATTGGCTTAAATAAAATAATTTACCTTTATTTTCATTAGCCAGTCTCTTTTGGTAGTAATGCTTTTAAATTATGAATATTTATTGAACACTTACTCAAGAGTTCTTAGGGGAACTCATCTAGTTATTCAGAAATCGTTTTTTGAATGAATGGATCCCAATGTGCTGATTTTTTTCACGTGTATGAAACAAACACACACACATATATACTCTTTAAAACTTCAGCAGACAATATGGAGGGGCTAAAAAATTTTATGTTATTTTTTAAATACTAAATAACTGCAGCCTTTGCCAAGAGACATGAAAAAAAATCCATAGACTGTTCATCTGACTGTTTCCTTTTAAGCAAAAGAAGTTGGAGGGTCTGAGAGGAAGAAAGAATAGTAGGTTATCTGCCTGTTACTTCTGTTTCTGCTCCGCTTCTGAGTTGCTTTGTGTCTCTGAAACCCTTGGCCTTCATTAGCAGTTATGAAATACGAGTAGTATCATAGCTGATACCTCCCAGGCTTTAAAAGGCCATTTAAGGAGGAGCAGTACCCCTGTATTCCACTAGCAACACATCTCCTTGCAGGGGGTGATGTTTCTTTTCCCCTATCTCGAATCTAGACCAAGTAATCGTTCTGAGTTCTTCACCTTCAGTTCTCCTTATTGTATAAATTTATATTTTCAGCTGAAAGAAAATCAAATGTTCTCAGAATTGTCGTTTTCTATTTTGAAGTACTGATGTTTAGGTCTGAAATCTCCCAGCAGTGCCTTCCCACAGAAATGGTACACAAGAGGTCCTTAGGCTTGGATGATCTGCATATTGGAGCTCTGGGGTTGGAAACCAGTGTCTGTGCTCCATTCTGAAGTGTTTAGATGAGCTTTACTTAAGTACAGCTTTTGCGTGCGCTATTTGCCGTGGCACCTAGCAGTCCCAGTCTAGAAAAGAACCAATAAAATATCAAGAGCACCAAGTAAATTTATTAAAGAATGCTAGCTCACCCCAGAGCTTGCATATTACAAGAGAAAATACAGACTCATGCTGAGCAGAAGTGATGTTTAACAGTTTTTCGTAGAACTAACACTTTTTTATGAGATTTTTTAGGGCCAAGGTTGGAATAGTGCATACAGCTCACCATTAGAAACATTCTTTATCTGTCCCAGTAAGCAACTGAGAAATAAAAATAGAATTATTGGAGTATATGTATAAAAATAAAATGGTAAATGCTAAGATGTATCTCGTCTTACGACTTTGATCTTGTTTTCAGCGAATACCCTGTTCAGAGGTCAAAGAAAGACTCCGAGGGAGTGGACATGGGAGTTGCGGGTTCGGTCCGCCTTCTGCAGAATGTTACACTGTCTACCCAGCCCATTTCCAGTCTGGACTGGAGTCCAGATAAAAGGGGTCTCTGCATCTGTAGTTCATTTGATCAGATGGTAAGAGTACTGATTATTACAAAGCTCCATAAAATTTGATCTGAAGACTTTGGACTTGACATCTTCCAGCAGAACACTCTTAGAATTTAAAAAGTGTTCTGGATTCTCGGACCCTCACTGAACAAAGTTGGATTCGATTGATGAAAAAGACCCTGGACACAAACCTCCAAGCCAGCCTCTCCCTGGGTGTGAAATGCCCAGCAGTGTGTCACGGTGACCTGGCTGCACATGGGGGTGCCACTATCTCCAGAGCCAGCTGTTTTTTCCATTTCTCATAAAAAATTGCTACTTGTCTATATTCAAACATATTTTAAATTTGTTCTGCATCCCCAGAGTTCCATATTTTATAATAACATTTGTGTTGCATTTTAGCGTTTACAGTGTTGTGGTGGGGGTCACTTAATTTGGTTTAAAGTTTGCCTTGGTAGAACTGCTGTGAATTAACTTTCATAAATACACTTTGAGAGGTTTCAGTGTCACTAAGTTTCAGTACAGAATATTACATTATACAATCCCAAAGTGGCACCTTCAGACTAGATTTAGGTAGCTGTTTTTTAGTAGTGTAACTCTTAAAATGAAATACTACGATTTACAAAGACCTCTTTTTCACTTAAAAAACAAGAGTTGTATTAGTGAGACTTTGGATGGTAAGTCTCACTTATGGTGAGTGATGTTGAATGTTGAGATGTACAAGATTGTGGGTTTTGTAGCCTTATTTTTTGTCAAACTTTTAAATATATTTTATGAATAAATTTGTTTTTGAAATCTATGGTAGCTTTGATTCTTTTAACTTAACAGTGGTAATAAAGCTAACACCATCACTACTTTTGCTTTATAAATGCTTAATAATAAGTACCTTTTATTCACTTTATTTCTTCTGTGTTCACCATATCTTTAGCTAAGTTCAGAGGTATTAATTTTATCACACTTTTATTAAGCCTACCCTCCCCACTCCTCCATTCAAGAAACAGGGCCACCTAAAACATTGATGATATGTGAAATTCATGTGATTTCAGGGGTTCTTGGAAAGTCACTTGCTTGGAATATTAAATTCCGAAAATGAACTTTTTTCCAAATTTCAAAATCTGGCTAGAACAATGCTATGGAAATAATTATGAAAGTAAAAGTTAAATTGAACTTTAAAAATGCCTATTCCTGTATGTTTTTGTTTTTGTTTTCAATTTTCAAAGAAAAAAATGAAAATTTATGAAATTCTCTCTTATAACATTTGTATTTGGTGGTATAATTAGAGAGGTTTAAGTCAAGAATAATAAATACTTGTATTTCATTAGATCTAAGATGTCATTGATTGTAAAATTATTTTATACCATCAAGAAAGAAAAAATATCGCCAATAAAACTGATAAAGTAGTTTCTTATCACTTAGCATTTCTTTAATGTTTATTGAATATTCTAGTAAACTTATTTATATATAAGCTTTTTCATTATACATCACTCTTGTGCTTCCTTAAGGACATATACGAAATAAGTGTGGTATGGTAGTCCTCAAATTTCTTCCTATTCAGAGTCTGATCCTTCTAAATCACTTTTTGAATTGAGTCATCAATGTTCATGGTTTTCCTTACAGTGTTGTCCTTTGTACCATGAAATGTGTTGGTGATGCAGCATTTCTTTAAAACGTGCTTCTCTTCAGGGTTTTCTTTTGGTGCACTGATGCCCTGCGTGTCTTGGTGTACACATGCCGTGACAGCTGACTTAGGCTTATAACAAACCACTGCAGAACTTGGTATTTTAAAACACTAATGATCATTTACTGTGTGTACACAGGAAAGGTTCATCTGTGTCCACGCAGTGTCAGTTGAGCTGGAATATATGCTTCCAAGGTGCACTCACATGGCCTGCAACTTGGTGCTGGCCATCAGCTGGGACCTCAGCCAGGCCTGAGAACCAGGGGCTTCTCCACCCGGCATGGGCTTCTTTAGGGTGTGGAGGATGAGTTCCAAGGATAGCAACCCAAAAGAGAAGGCCAGGTAGAAGCAATATCAGTGTTTAATGGCCTAGTTCATAATTCACTTAGCATCCCATTTTGCCACACTCTGTAAATAGAGGCAGTCAACAAGCTCCCCTGTATCCTTCCCACCCCCATTTAAAGGGGAAGGACACATTCTACTAGATGGGGGCTTGGCTTGGTTCTGGAAGAGCATTTGAGACTTGAAACATCGTGTTCATTTTTGGAAAATACGATCTGGTGCAGTGATTATAAGAGGCATCCGAATTTTGAATATGTAAAAATGGAGCGGGGGTGATGTGCTTGATGAAATATATTACTTGGAACACAGATATCCCTATCCCCCTCATCTCCCTGCCCCTAATCTATTGCAGACATTACTAATCAATCATGATACTCATTTTCTCTGAGCCTCACAAGTTTTATCATACTCTGGGAGCCACTGGGAGCCACTACCAACTATTGGCAGGGAGCTCAAACTTATCTACTATCCCGAGTCCAGACAGCAGCGCCACATGGAGACCAGGAGCCTCCTGGACCAGGCATCATTGCCTTTGTGTGGCCCCTCATCCTTGATTTTGTTCTTCAACACTATAAAAAATGATGAGCTGTCTTGCACTAGCCCATATAAATCAAACATGCAAAAACCAAAATGGCACTTCATTCATATACAGTGATGCTGGAGCAATTTTCATCAAGGGTTTTTTAACTATTGAACTTTACTTACGGTGTCACGGTCCAACTCTATCCTTCAGCCAGTATAAAACCAATTCGCCCAGCAGTGCCTTTCACATAATGTTCAATAAGTGATAAGCGATGAGAAAAATGAAATAATGACAAAATGAGTAATTAGAGGTCCTACCTTACTTCTTACCTGTTTTCTCCAGATCTCTCTATTGATTAAGACTAGGTTCAGCTACAGCTAACTGAACATCATAAAATATTTTTATTTCTCACATCAGATAAGCAGTCCGGGCTGCTATGGTGGCTTCATGATGATGAGAGACCCGGCTCGCTCTATTTTGTTCCTCCACCATCTTCATTATGTATCTTTCACCTCATCATCCAATGTGGCTGCTCCAGCTCCAACCATCATATCCACATTTCACCAATCAGAAAAGCAGGAAAAGTAAGAAAAAGAATACTCTGCTACTTTAAAGAACACTTCTGCTTTCTTCCTGTTGGCCATGGTTTGGTCTCTTGACTGTAAGGCTGCATAGACGTTACTCTGGACAATGATAGGCTTAACTCACGTCCAGGAGTTCTGGTACTGAGGAAGACAGGGAAATGGGCATTAGGAGACATAAGTGGATTCTGCCACAGCGTGACAGAATTGTCAAGCGTAGTCTCCCATGAGGTAACAACCAGGAAGTGATCAATTCATACTTCTTTAGGCTGCATCTAGGTCTTGGCACCCAACAGGCACTTCTGGCTTCTCCTCCAGCGAGTATAGGTAGACGCAAAGGAATCACGTATTTCCGTGACCCGTCGAACCGCTTATTATCTTTCACGTACACCTAATGACAGCCCAGCTCAGCACAAAAGTATGAGAGAGAAATTCCCTTTAACTAGAAATGATCTTCTATCTTAAATTTCTTTTCTTGGGAAATTTTATTTAATATAATTTGTTTCAAATTCTAAGCACTATTTCCATGCAGGGGCAGTCCAGAGACACACGCAGGAGAACATGAATGGGGCATGTTACCGCGTGCATTTCTATAAACTCATAAAAAAATTTGAAGGGAAAACAATATATTTATGACTTGGTGTATATTGGAACCAACCAAAAATCACTTTTGTTGGTGATTTAGGTGGATAAATTTTGTACTTTTTGTAGAAAAAATAATTTGTTTCTGTTAATGTCTAAGGATTGTCCAATATGAAAAATGATTTCATTTTTTTTTTCTGAATGAGAACAGCCAAACGGTTTCTGGCAAATACTCAGAGCTTTCAGTGATGCCTAAGCCAAGGCACTATCAGATGTGCCTCTTACCAACTTTCAGTGAATTGTCTTCCTTTTGGGAAGGAGGCCGTCTCCTAAGCCTGTGCATTCGGAGTCCCAGCACTTTGTGGTGCTGTGGTGCACTGCCCCCTTGTGGGAAAATGTGGGCATTGCAGACTTTTTATCAACCTATTTTGCCTTTCAAATATAACTGGAAAAACCACTTTTCAATTCACAGTAGGCACACAAGTCGAAGTGGACCTGAAGAAAGACATTATCTTATAGAAATCTCTTCCTCCATTGTGAGTGTGTTTATGAAAAGTAACACTTTGTATACGATAACACTTCAAAAGTTGTATAATTAGCTTTATTATAGATTTGACCTTATTTTTAACGCACCATAAGAGCTGACTTCCAAGGAGAAACATTCAGCTTTTTATAAAGTGAGACGTTTTCTTGTAAATAAATACTATATGCCTCCACATCCCACCACCAATTCATTCTATAAATCCTAATGGTACTATGAAGTAGAATTTCTCAAAGTAAGGACTTCTTTATATCATCAGTTACCTTCCCGCAAACATTCTAGAATTTTCCCCTCTGGATTTGCATGGACATACTCATTGTTTTCACAGGCTATTTCTGCACGAACAAGTCAATGAGCAGGAGGCCTTCCTCTGCCCGCTTTCGGGGCTGTGGACCACACAGCTAAAATAAGCAACACAAACTGTGGTCAGAGACTCACAACTCTCTTTCGCACAGGAGGCTGAAGACACACTTTCAGCTTCTCATTTGAAGTCTTCAACTTTTCTTCTTTATCTCTAAGAATGCTCACACTAGGCCTTCTGTAGCAAATCGGATTATCAGCTTGGGGAGAGGCCTTCGAGTCAGCTGAGCACATTCTCCCTGGGGCTAAGGGAATCTCTCGGCTAGTCCATCCTCTTCTTCGTGCAAGGCCAGAGCAGGCCACTCTGTACTCCATTACCCCTGAGAAGCAGGGCACCTTTCAGTCTAACCAAGCCAGAAACAGATCAGGTGTGCAAACAACACCACAGTCAGAGGCGATAAGGGTAAGCAAATAAACGACTAGGGAGGAACAAAAGCAGAGGTTTGGCTCTCAGCGCCCTGCAGATAAACAAGTGTTTGAGCTGGGCTGAACACATCCCTTATCTGGGGAAAGATAACATTCACACTCAGAAGGCATCTGTGCTTGCAGCGAGCGTTTGGAACCCTTTGAGTGCTAACCTGGTCCTCACACTGACTGAACTAGGGTTTGGGAACAATGGACTGGAGGAAACTGTTACCTCCCACTCCAAGGGGGTCATAGCACTTGAAGAAGACAGACCCAGAGATCTTAGCAGAAGAGTCTTGGTGGCACTGTCTCTACTCATTCACCAAGGGCCACTGGGGCATGCTGTGGATTTTCCACATCTGCTCAGTAAAGCTTCTTAGGCGGGAGAGATGTCAGAAGCCTCATTCTCTTTCTCACTGTTCAGGTTATTGAAGCTGAAGAAAGCAGTGAAGAATGAGACCAGAGGGGAAACCATTAGCAGGTCTCTAGCCAGACTTGATCGGGATAACTTATATGAAGATAATGACATTGACAATAATAGCAGCTAATATTTACTGAGCACTTAACTATATGCCCGGCGCTATACCAAGTGTTTCTCCTGCATTATATTCTTCAATCCTCATCATAAAACTTTGAGGTCAGTACAATTGTTGACATTTGCAATTGAGAAACAGGCTTCAAGAAGTTAAGAGACGTGCCCAAAGCTTCCCCCACCAGTAAGCTGATCCAGAAGTAGAAACATGGACTGTCCATTTTAGTATGCAGACTCTTAACCTATCTTTATTGT